TACGACACAGAACACTCTCCAGCAGCTCCAAATGCTACATTTTTCTCTTTTTGGATTTTTCACCATGGCACACAAGAAATATAAGTATCTGGTTTTTAACAAATCTGTTTTCAAGTCTCTCTGGAAAGTTTTTATTCTTCCCATTTGGCAAGTCATAAAAAGTCAAAATTATTTACAGAGTTTGGTTCCTTTTATGATGAATAGCTCTAGTCCAGACTATACATACAGCCTAAGGGTACAGGCCCTGGATTGGCTGAGACGAGAAGTATCTTAACATAGTATGGAAGAAAGAAGAAGAGGAAAAAAAAAAAGGAAAAAAAAAGAACAACAGGGGCCAAAGAAAGAGAGGGCCTCTGGGCAGGAATTGTGAATATGACTAAGAAAAAAAAAAGAAAAACAAAAGCAGAGAGTTTATGGAACTTGGACTAGGCTGGAGAACCCAAGGAATAAGGTAGCTCAAAAGGGATCCAAGGAGAGCCTGTAAGTAGTTAAGAGAAGTGTCCATTAGTTAAGGAAAGAGTTTGGAGGTTGAAACAGAAAAGCCAGTTTTATGTTGCCACATTGGCTGCTAAAATTAAGTCGTAATATACCCTCAAACATCCTCAACTTTGGGGACAAGAGAAAACTTACAGAATATGTGTTAGTTGTATTCAAATATCAAAAGGGTCACCATGTGGAAGAGAGAATAAAATTATTCTGTGTTGCCCCAAAGGTCAGAAATAGGAACAATGGGTACAAGTTGTAGGAAAGCAGATTTTGTTTTGATATAAAGTAGAACTTTCTTAAAATTAGAAAAGTTCAACCATGGAATGGACTGCATTGTGATGAAGCGGCCTCTCCATCTCTAGAAGCGTTCAAGCAGATGCTGGATGTCCACTATGGAGTCAGAAGTCCTAGGGGCAGATCCTGACTATGAATTGTGAAATTCTGGGCAAATCCTTCAACTATTCTGGCTCCCAGTTTCCTCATCCAATCACATCCAGGCCACCATTTCCAAACTATTCTGCCTACACTCCAGCCATCATCCTCATCTCAAGGCATACACTAGACCCTTGGATACTGGCTCAGGAAACCACCCTGGCCTGTGACAGGCGAGTTTTCTTGCCTAGCACCCAGCCTTCACTTCTAGCCACTATTTCTAAAACATGCCACAATATGTACATATAGCTGGCAGATAGTAAGCTTAACACTTAATGTTTTACCTATCTGAAAAAATGATGGAGTTGGACTAAATGATCTCTAAGGTCCCTGTCTAGCCCTAAATCTGTGTTATCCTAAGATGGATCTTAAATTAGATGAGAGGTTGAACTAAATGACCTCTACTTACATTGTTTATTTTAATTTCATTTTTAAATAGTCTTTTTTTTTATTTTAACTTTTTGAGCGAGTCAGTGTAATACAGTGGAAAGATTATTGGATTAAGAGTCTAGGAGACCTGGATTCGAATCTTGTCTTCAACATTTACAATGTGACCAATATCTCTAAGCCTCCATTTCCTTTCTCTATAAAATGGAGATCGCCGAGTTGTGGTAGGGATTAAATGAGAAAATAGATATGTTTGTAAAACATGTTGTAAACCTTAAATTTCTGCAAGTGCTTTGAAAGGTGATGAGTCTCCCATCACTGAGTTACTTAATCAAAGTTGAATTACCTCTAAGGTCACTTCCAACTCTAAGATTCTAGGATTCTTCAAGTCAAAACAAAGTAGATATTGCACTCTACATGACAGGCTGCAATGGACTGATATGAAGAGAACGACAGCAAAGATTACATGGTGCTTTAAAGTTTGCAAAACACTATACCTTATCTTATGTGAAGCTCACGACAATCTGGTGTGGTAGGTATTATAGGATTTTCAGAGGTAAAGGAGTAATGAGGGAAGGTATATTTTGTCCTGACCTGAAATGTCATTGGTTTAGACAACTCCTGGAGAGAAAATTCTTCATCTGACTGGCAAGCGTTCTGCAACTTAGTCTTAAGAAAGTGACTTGGGACTTATGATGAAAGATGCTATCCATCTCCACAGAAAGAACCGATGGAGCCTAAATATAGGTCAAAGCATGCTTCTTTTTTTAAAAACTTTCTTTATTTTTCTTGGGGTTTTTTTGGTTTGGTCTATGTTTTCTTTCATAAGATGACCGATAGGGAAATACGTTTTGCATGACTACAACTATATATAACCTTCTCAATAAGGTGGGTGGGGAAGGAGGAAAGGAGAGAATTCGGAACTCAGAATTTTTAAAAAGAATGTTAAAAATAGTTTTTACACGTAATTGGGGAAAAAATAAAAATAAAAAGTTACCTGGGGCACCAAGAGGTTAAGCGCTAGTAAGGTCACATGACTAGTAAGCATCAGCTATTTTAATCCAGGTGAGTGGTCTATCCAATAGACTATGATATGAATGACTCATCATTAGAGGGAGGGCATGGAACAGGAATGAGGCTAAGCTGGAAGAATGAGGTAAAGTTGAGACTACACCTTGATCCCTTGGGTGGTGGTAACAGAAGGGGTCAGTGACAAATGTGGGAAGGCTTCTCTTTGATAATGCTTAGGACAGTTTGCTCTCATCCTCTCAAAGATCTCTTTTCTTTTAGGTTGGCTAAATTTTCTTTTCCAGCACAAACCCATCTCTATTGTATCCATGCCCTGTTCCCATGCCACCTCCCTAGGCCCTGCAGGCCCTTACAATCTTATATCTGCACTATAGCGATGGTGTCCGCCATTGGTCTCCCTTCCTCTAGTCTCTTTACTTTTCAATTTTGCTACACACTGCTGCCAGATAATCCCTCCCCCTCCTCCCCCCCCCACTAAGACACAGCTCTGATCAATATAACCTTCTCCAGCCCTCAAAATCTTTAGTGACTCACTAAAGTTGGACAAAATAAAGTCCCTAAACTTCAGACTGGCATTCAAGAGCTTTCATGATCTGGTCCCAAACCACCACATCCAATTTCCCTATTACTTTCATACATGCCCCTTGTGTCTTGTATGATCTAAACTAGTTGCACTTACTCAAACTCAGCACTTTATTGCCTCTGTATTTGCGTATCTGGAAAATCTTCTCCCAACATCTTTAACTATCAAAATCCTATGTATCCCAAGGCCCTGCTCAAATATTACTTCTTGTCCGGATACAACTCTCTTTTCTCTGTATTTCTTAGTTTATAACTTTTATAAGATTAAACATCTACTTCATTAGATAGTAAAATATATGGATATCTTTGCTGAAATCTATGTATATATCTTATCTTCCTTACTAGATCATAAGCTCCTTGAGAGATTGTCCTATTTTACTCACCTTTATATCTTCCCAGAGCACCTGGAACAGTGACTTATGCCTAGTAGACAACAAACATTTGTGGAATGAATGTACTTAGTTACCTTTTTAGATAGATCTTAACCATCACCTTCAGGAAAACCTGTAAAATGCAAGCTATTTATCTAACTTTAATTCTCCCATAGAGTCACGGGATTGCCAAATGTCAAAATTTCCAAGTTGCCTAAATTTTAATTTTTAAAAGGCTAATAAAATTATGAGTTATATATTAATCCATAAAAAAAAGAACAATTATAGGAAGCCCAAAGGATCATGGAGAGATTCACGGTGAGCATAAAGAGGCTGCAGGATATTACCATTTACTGTATGTGATTTACATTACAATAGTGACAAGAAAAGATATCATCTAGGAAATGTGCCATTAGAACAGGATGTAGGCCAGTCATGTTAAGAAAGGGAGAGATAATAGAAGAACAGGCCAAGGCCTACACTGCTTCCTATGGAGTGTTTAAAAACAACAGCAACAACACAACTTAAATAACCTAAATGAAGGCTGTGGTATATCAGGTAAATTCTCTGTGGAGGATTTACTGCAGATAAAAGAAAGTATCATGGCAGGCTCTTAAATGTACTGTTGGAATAAGTATCCAAACCAATTAGAGCATGGATCCAGCGAAGTACAATGACATCCTTTGTCCTGTGTTTTTGGTTCAGATTTGTGAGTTCATTGGTAGAGAATTAGCTAGTAAGGAAATTTCCTCTACCAACAATGATCAATAACCATTCTGTAACTTCAAAGGAGTCTTGCAGCCTTAACCGACAGCAGCTCACAAAGCCTGTATTAGAGGTAGAATTTGAACCCTGGTCTTCCTGACTTTGAGGTATGCTCTCTATCTACTGCATCATGCTGCCCCTCATAGACTTTATGTAGGGGTTACAATCCCTGCTAGTTCCTGAATCTCTAGTGAAAATAGATGATTACATCAGGAGCCCTGATACACAGCTTTTTGCATGTTTCCTTCATCATTATTTTCAAGCACACTGGGTAGCAACCCCTTAATGCTGGGAGGTGCCCCTCACCTTGGGGCTCAGGGGCATAGGCCCTTGAGGGCTTTGTTTCTATATTTTCCATCAGTGATCTCAATGACAGTGTATCTTGAAACTACAAGGGAAAGTGTCCCTATCCTATGGGACTCATGCCCTCTTTTGCTTGTGGTGACAATGACACCTTTAAGGAGCTAGAGTCCTCTCCTAAGTATTCAGGAGCACAGAGAACTGCTCCTTTATTCACTGGCATGGCCATGTCAGGCTCAGAAGATTCTAATAATCTAGTTTGCTCTCACCATGTCCAGTAGCCTCTAGGAAAGGTGGGGCTTATTCATTATTCGTTCACTCAACAGCCCCTAGGACAATACTTCTTCTATTAATCTATGAGGGCCCCATCATTCTACCCAGCATATATGGCTGATTCACTTTGTATTGAAGAAATCAGATCATGCACAAAAGTTTGTTTTTTCAAATTCCTAATTTACCTTAAATGTACTTTAATTTTAACTTCCATTTTTAGCTTCCAATTTGCCCATTTATTTCCCTTCTTAATGGAAAACTATGACAACCCTTTCTCAATAAATTACAGCACAAATAGGAATATACTTTCCCTTTCCCAGATGGAAATTTTTTTTTAAAACCTTACAAAGACTCTGCCAAGAAGTCGTTACTTACTCTTTTCCTGGTTGTCCTGGCAGTTGGTTGTGGAATGCCACTCTAAAGAAGGAACAGAAACAGAAAATGAGTTGACCCAAACATGGTAATGCTGCAAATGATATTATGCTTGGGCCCTGAGGCTTTTTAGAGAAAGCACATACCACTTTTTAAAAATCACATAAAACAATTCCCTAAGAGATTGCACATGCTTTTGGTTTCAGCCAAAGAGGGTGCTTTATTTGAAGGCCATCTGTTCCAGGTTTGCCCAATTGACACAGGGAGACCAACCAGGAAGATTAGTGTCAGGTGTTTTGCATTTTCAATTTAATTCAATTCAACAAGAATGTGTTAAGCCCCTAGTATGTATTCAGCACTGGGACAGGGGAGGAGCAAATGTGGGCTATGACAAGGTCTCTCCTCTTAAAGAGATTACAATCTTGTTGAAGTGATAAGACTTTACACACATAAAATCCAGAGACAGTGGTGGATTATAAATGTTATTATGGGTGCAACAGGGAATGGGATCAATGAGAGAAGTAGAAATGACCTGAAGGATAGTAGGATTTGGATTGGTAGAGAGGAAGGTGGGGGGCAACCTAAGGAGAAAGAACAGCCTCACCAGAAGTAGAGAGGGGAATAAACATAGCAGGTTCTGGGGACGATGGAGGAGCCCTGTCTGGCTTTAGCAGAAAGGTATCTGCCGGTAGTATTGGGAAGGAATAATCATAGGATAATAGTATTATAAATTTAGAGCTGGACAGGACCCTAGAGGCGCTCTAGTCCAGAGCTGTCAAACACATGGCCAAGTGCAGCCCAAACCAGATTAAAATGTAATTGGGAAATATTTAACAAAATAAAATACAACAGAGCATAGATAATATTACATTTAAAACTAAGTCACCATGTGGCCCATAGGGATTCTTGTGTATGGCTTAGTGGCCCCCATTTCTATTTGAGTTTGACACCACTGGTCTAGTCCAGTCTCCTTACCTTAGACCTGAGATAACCAAGGCCCAGAGGAGTTAAGAATCTGGCCCAACTTTACACAAGTAGTAAATGGCAGAGCCGAGGTTCAAACTCAGGGACTTTTATTCTGTATCCCATGCTCTTTATATTGTACAACTGCAGTAGAAAGAGGAAAGATAGTTCCATCTACACAGAAGGTCATTTATGTCGAATTGAAAATGATCATCTACAGGTAATTTGGCAAGAAGGCAGAATTCATACTTTTTTATAAAAGGGTAGAATACCTGGGCTTCCCTACCTCAGTGTGCCTGACATATTGATATGAGTTGGCTCCTCAAACAGCCCTGGATGATATGGCTTATAGTTTGGAAGGTTTTAATGAGCAAAATTATGTCATTTATGTTGGTAAATGAAATGCATTATTATTAAAAAAAAACAACTATTAAGTATAATTATTTCCACAATCCTTTTTGTTTGTCTGTTTTGGGGACTGAGAGATTAGTCACCATTGGTTCATGACTGCAGGCAGGATGCTGGACTTCTAGCATAATCCAGTAAATTTATCACATTTGGCTAAAAGACCTGCCACTTTATGGCACGTTGGTAAGAGTCTGGCTACATAATATAATAGGGCTTTTTACTGCCTATGGTCAGTGTGCAACTACAGTGAATCATTCATTTAGTCAAATGAAAAATGTAACAAGAGGAGTGGCTTAGTAGGTTGTAGTAAGACAGAACATTAAACTGGGCATCAGAAGGAGCTAAGTCTAATTGGGTGACCTTGGGCAAGTTACTTCATTTTAGGGGATTAAATGAGCTCTAAGGTTCCTTAAAGCTCTCTAACATTCTGTAATTCTATGAATTCAGCATTATTTGCATATTAATTATCTACTTTGTGCATTTGTTAACCCAGGTCTGCTCGTGGGCTGCCTTCTTCTACCACCTACCTTATGTAGGCATAGGGAAAATACACATTGATCGAAGTATGTAGAAACATAATGTGGGGGGAAAAATCTACAAACACATCACATACTGTACTACAAAGTCAAATATACATGCTATTTAAATTAGAGACAGTAGAATGTAGTGGGTTAGAAGTCAGGAGACATGGATTCTACTGCTGGCTTCACCATTAATTCTTTATGGGACTTTGGGAGAATCCCTTCATCTCCCTGAATCTGAGAATTGCCATCCATAAAATAAGGGGATGGGACTAGTTTTCTACACTTGATTACATAAACTCCAATATTCCAATGGGTCAGTGATCCAATCCATTTGAGTGTCCTTTCCAAAAGATCACAACATAGCCATGCCTGCTTATCCTGTGCAACTGTTTGTGCTGCCTCACATGTTCTTGCTATTGAGGATAGCAATGAAACATGCAAAGACCTTAGAAAGGCCAAGGTATCCACTGCATCCCGGGCTATCACCAATCATCTTAACTTCTGTCTTGCCACTAGACTTTAGTGACTTTGGAGGAAAACATGAGGCTGATGACTTTGCCCAACTCTGCCTCATTTAAACCCAGCTTACACACAAGTCAAGATGTCACCCTCGTGATGTCATTAGTCCTCTCTGAGACCAAAGGAAGATCAACAGAACAAAAACATGCAACCTGTCTACTGATTATCCCTTGCTTTCACCAGGTAAACAACTAATCTTTTTTCTCATAAATTTCTTTGATAGTATGCTTTACACTTCTCCTTTCATTTGTTCATTCAACAAGTATTTGTCAAACTCCTACCATGTGCCTGGCATAGTCCTAAGCCCCAGAGACACAAGACAAAAATGAAACAGGCCCCCACCCCTCAAGAAGCTTACATTCCTTTATGAGGGAAAACACATGAGCAAAGAGAAGTAAACAGAAAATATATACAAAGCAATATCTGGGGGAGGACGCCAGCAGCTGGAGAAAATCAGGAGAGGCTTTCCGTAGTCACTTGAACTAAGGTTGAAGGAAGCCAGGGTTCCTAAGAGGTGGGATTAAGGAATGAGCGCATTTTAGGAATCTGGGGCCTCTTGTTCAAAGGCAAAGAGATGGGAGATGGGAGATGGAATGTCACGTTTGGGAAACAGCAAGTAAGTTTGCCTGGAACAAAGAGCGTGTGAAGGAGAGCAACAAGCAATAAACCTGACAGCAGTCTGGAAGCAGACCGTGAAGAGCTTTGAGTCTCCCTAAGAAGAGTTTGTATTTTATCTCAAAGAAACCATCTGACCTGGGCTTTAGAAATATCGGTTTGGCAGCTGTACCTAGGCTGGATTGGAGGAGGGAATAGCCCAGAGGCAGGGATGCCAATTAGGAGGTCGTTGTAGCACTCTAGGCAAGAGGTGATGAGGGCCTTGTCTGCGATTATCTTTCTTTCAGCTTGTATTTGTATGCCGGTGCTTAGAACAGTGCCTGGCACACAGTAAGCACTTAATATTTACTTGTTCACTTGACACTGAATGAAAAGAAGAGAATGGAGGTGAGAGGTAATTGTTGTCATTCAGTCACTTCAGTCACAGCTGACTCTTCATGATCCCATTGGGGGTTTTCTTCCCACAGATACTGGAGTGGTTTGCCGTTTCCTTCTCTAGTTCATTTTACAGATAAAGAAGCTCAGGCCAACAGGGTTAAGTGACTTGTCCAGGACAACACAGCTAGTGTCTGAGGACAGATTTGAACTCAGGAAAATGAGTCTTCCTGACCCCAGGCCTGGCACTCTATCCACTGTGCTACCTAGCTGCCCAAATAAAAACAGCAACCTGAATATTGATCCGACAAAACAAAAAACAAAACAAAACAAAACAAAATCCCACCTATTGACTTAGAAAACCACAAATTAATGCTATGTTGTATTTCTGGGTGGACCATGAGCCCCAGTTTGACATCTCCCTGCTAGGTATACCCTATATGCTTAGGCTATAACTTCTCCCTGATAGGACACTATAGTATAACCATTTCTATCAGATAACAACAACTAGGCAGCATTCCCCCAACCTAAGATTAGGATTTTCTTTTTCAACCGCTATCGCTGGAGGAAAATAAAAACCTTCCGTTAAAGATAACTATGTAACAGAGTTTAGATCAGGGATAGAGAACCTGCCTTTTGACTGAATTCAAACTTCACAGAACAAATCCCCTTAATAAAAGGATTTGTTCTGTAAAACTTGGACTCTGTAAAAAGGCCACACCCAAGGACCTAGAAAGTCACATGTGGCCTCAAGGTTGCAGGTTCCCCACCTCTGGTTTAATTATTCTTTCAATTCAGTTGTTGTTCAGTCCTGTCTATCTCTTTGTGACCCCATTTGGGGTTTTCTTGGCAAATATACTGGAGTGGTTTGCCATTTCCTTCTCCAGCTCATTTTACAGATAAGGAAACTGAGGCAAACACAGTGAAGTGCCTCCCCCAGGGTCACACAGCTAGTAAGTGTCTGAGATATTAGATATTCTTTTCTACTCCTAAAAACCTCTCTGCCTTAGCTGCCAATGAATTTGAACCTTCAGCCTGTACAAGCCAGCTCCAGTGTGCCACCGTACGTTATTCAGTAAGTTGTGACATAGTAGCAAAGACATAGTCTGCTGGGGATATTTCAGAAACCCTCTGTCCCCTTCTAGTAACCTTGATGCCCTTGATATGTGTGAAGATTATTCTTATAAAAATATTATATGGATGAGAAAGTAGGTATTTGGGTCAGGAGTTATTAATATTCAATTGGTTCTCCTTTTTGTAAAAATATCTGATATTTTTTCCCCCACATCTCTAATATCTTTCCCTCCTTTAGATACTTTGGGAAACAATCCCTCAATGTCCTTAAAATTGTGTCATCTCCAACACAGATCTCCTCTGCATATTTGGTCCAGTTCAACTGCTTTTCATATCTTAGTTCTCATCAGTGCAATTTCCACTTCTTCTAAAAGTATATCAGAGACTGTGGTGGTTCCACTGTCCTTGGTAGTAAAAACAATTTGTTGTTTAAAAAAAAATTTACAGATCTTTTCCATCTTTCATCTGTTTGCTCAGAATCATATTGTTTAGTTCATCTCTAAAGCTCCTTTCTTTAAACTTGTCTTCTCCAATGTTTCTCGATGTTTTACGGGGTAATATCGCTCA